GTCCCTGTGCTTTGCTGAGCTTGTTCTAAGTAGGTGCTTTAGACCACTGAGCCATCTCACCAGCCCTAAATATCCATCTTATCTACCAACATTATCTACAACATTGTCCTTGTCCTGCAGCTCCATATCCCCATATTTATCAGAATATACGTGTCTGATTGCATGGGTCTGTGCCTGGACTTCCTGTCTCTCACCTTACTACCTTAATTGCTGTAGCTTTCAGTACTTCTTGATACCTAGAGGTATAAGACTTCCAGCTTTGTGTTTAAATTGTCTTGGTTTTTCTCATTCTTTCGGCTCTTCATATAACTTTTATGTTGGGACTACAAATTTACAATTCTAATTTTACATACTTCCCTAGGGGATAAACTGAAGCTTGGGATTATTGGTATCACGCTTTTGAGATTTCCCACTGTCTCTTGAGGGATGGACCATCCTTTCCCAAGCAATGTGATGAAGACCACAAGCCTATAGATGCTCCAGGGCAAGAGCCCTCCTGGCACAGGACCACCTGCACCCTCTTGAGTCATCCGGTAAGTTTCTTCTCAGATCTCTTCCTCATACAATAAATGCAGAGGTTCTGAGTGCCTTGTTGTAGGAGACACTTCCAGGTCCTTGTCTCGGTCCAAGATGCTGATATTTGTAATCCCAAAGTTATGTTATTGGAATCCCATCAAATTGATTCCAATCTACCACTTACAATGCAACCCACGGCGAAAATAAAGACACTAAATTATATCCTCAAAAAATCGGGGAGTCAAGGGGCTCCAAGTCCAGCCACGGAGATGGCTTTCTGGAACCAAGAGAGTGACCCAGGGCCTCACCCAGTTTTATTCAGTGGGGGAGTGGCTTGAGGATTGACTGAGAATTGTGGGAAAGAGACTATTATGAGCTGAACTAGGTGTGTGGCCTCAATTTACCTCTGCGATATGCAGGGAGGATATGCAGAGAGAGTAATCTGCATTATATAGTATCTAATGTTTTGGTAAGTCTGGTGCTTCAGCTTTGATGTAGCCTTTCAAGCCCCAGGAA